CTGCTATCCTTCCTTTGTCAGTGCCAGGCTGGACACACTGCACAGAAGAGCTGGAGATGCTTCCTCTGGCTGCCCCCACAGAGCTGAGAGAGAGAGAGGCAGGATGTTAACCCTGTGTTTGTTGAGAGTTAACACGCTGGCATATAGGCAGGGAAAGTAGCTTTTCCAGCCTATATGCAAGATCTGTCCATCCAATGTGTTCACTGCATGGGCTGAGAGAGGCATATGAGTTGTCTGTCAGGTTAATGGCTGACAGTTAACATCTCACACTCCAGGACCAATCTGTCGGAGATCTACAGATGTTTTCTATCGAGTACCACTGCAATTACTTTGTTGAGCCACAGTTCCAGGGCCAGATTCTATTTTACTCTGAAGAACAGCATACAATGCCAAGTCCTAATAAAAAGTGGTACGTGTAGCAATTGTACGTACACAGATGGATGCGAACCTCCATTTTGCCAAAGGCCCTCCATCTTGTATCATTTCTACTCCAAATCAACTCCCCCCCCCCTCTCTGTTGAGTGACACTTGGTCCCTGTGTGCTGGGTTCAGAAGTGCACAGGCAATCAGGCACAGTGGGACTGCTTCATGGTTATCAATCCCAAATTAGCTGGTGCCCGGGTGTCTGTTAGCTTCTCAATCCGAGATAATCGTAAAGCCATAAACCAGTCCTTAACTGGACTTCAAACGCATTCCTAGCTAGCCGTAAAACAGGCATCACATTTAAAACCCACTTTTCCCTATAATTTCATATCTTAAAGGTAGGAAATAATTACATAAAAATAAAGCATATATTCGGATAGCTCAGCTTAATGCGAGTCGCTTGATATCTTACACCCCTGGATTACGTATACCCGAGAGCAGAAAGCGATATCTCCTTAACCGTCCCAAGCAGATATGTCATAACTGGTATCTGGACATTCAGAATATTCTGCAGATTATCCTACCCGTGGATAGAATGTTACATGTACCTAGGGAAGGTTATTGACCCTGATATAACTTGCAAGGGATTTTGATTCTAACTTGGGTCTCCGCCTAGACACCCCCTCCCCAAATAAGGCAAATTGGATTCAGAGACAGCTGGAGGCCGACAAAATAGGTCGCCAGGCCTGAGGGAAAAAAGTTGAAGAATTCTCCCTTTTTAACATCGGAACCAACTTGGGAGACGGTATCCTTTTGCTCTGAAACTTTATTTGCTTAACCCAGGACTTTTGGCAAGTACTCTACCTCTCTAAACTTCTTTCTGTTATCTCTTTGCGGTGTTATTGCTCTGTGTATATATGTATATATATGTATATATATATATATATATATATATATATATATATATATATATATATATTGGCTACATCTTTTTCTGTAAATACTTTTATTGCACCATTTTGACCTTTTTAGTAATAATTCTTATTTTCTGAAAAGTGTTGAACTGTTTCTAAAGCTCTTTAATGCAAACTAAGAATCCCTGTCTCTGAAGAGCGCTACTGTGTGTTTTTAAACCTCTATAAACCTCTGCCTGCGGTGACAGTGGTATACAGACGATTATTCAAACATCATAGTGTTATTGCTAATATTGGCAAGTTTCCTCCTTTTCTCTACAAAAAGGCGGTGGTGGCAGTGTGAAGTGTTAATTGCGTAATTAACCTGACTCAGTAACAATCGCTCTCAGGCTGCAGGTACATAGATTGTGGTCCATTAGCTGGAAAATCTTTGTGCAGGGTGCAGCTGAGCGTGGCATTGTTACGCACGTGACAGCGCAGTTTTAGATTGGCTAGTCCTTCGGTCACGAGTTGGTAAGAAGGGCTGGGGGTCTGACACCGCGATCGTCACAGTACGTATTAATATACTAATACCGCACAATATTTAAAGCCAAAGTCCAGTTTGTCCATATATTGAAAAATTAAAGTCTCCAGGATCAGCTAAAAAACAGCTCTCCCATGCAGACTTTCTTATTCAGCAAGGTGGCACTTCTTCACCTAACCCCCAAACTCCCCCCAACTTACAGGAGAATGCTGTCAAGAGCAGAGTTATGTCATTATGTTGGATTGCTCTATGTAGCATTTAGGCAGGAATTGATACCATTAAGAGGATGCAGGAATTGATACCATTAAATGGCCCCTATGCTCGCTTGACCTAAATCCAATAGAAAACCTTTGGGATATCATGGTATGGTCCAGCTGACGCCACAAGGTTGCACCTCAGACTGTCCAGAAGCTCAGTGATGCCCTGGTCCAGATCTGGGAGGAAATACCCCAGGATACCATCTGATGTTTCATTAGGAGCATGCCCTGAAGTTGTCAGGCATGCATATACAGTGGGGATCGAAAGTTTGGGCACCCCAGCTAAAAATTTGTATTAATGTGCATAAAGAAGCCAAGGAAAGATGGAAAAATCTCCAAAAGGCATCAAATTACAGATTAGACATTCTTATAATATGTCAACAAAAGTTAAATTTTATTTCCATCATTTACACTTTCAAAATAACAGAAAACAAAAAAATGGCGTCTGCAAAAGTTTGGGCACCCTGCAGAGTTAATATCTTGTACTGCCCCCTTTGGCAAGTATCACAGCTTGTAAACGCTTTTTGTAGCCAGCCAAGAGTCTTTCAATTCTTGTTTGAGGTATCTTTGCCCATTCTTCCTTACAAAAGTCTTCCAGTTCTTTGAGATTTCTGGGCTGTCTGTCACGCACTGCTCTTTTACGGTCTATCCATAGATTTTCAATTATGTTGAGGTCAGGAGATTGTGAAGGCCATGGCAAAACCTTCAGTTTATGCCTCTTGATGTAATCCCCGTGGATTTCGAGGTGTGTTTAGGATCATTATCCATTTGTAGAAGCCACCCTCTCTTTAACTTCAGCTTTTTCACAGATGGCATCAAGTTACCATCCAAAATTTGCTGAAATTTTATTGAATCCATTTTTCCTTCTACTCGTGAGATGTTCCCTGTGCCACTGGCTGCAACACAACCCCAAAGCATGATTGATCCAACCCCATGCTTAACAGTTGGACAGAGGTTCTTTTCACATTAAATTCTGTGCCCCTTCTTCTCCAAACGTACCTTTGCTCATTCCGGCCAAAAAGTTCAATTTTAACCTCATCGGTCCACAGAACTTGTTTCCAAAATGCATCAGGCTTGTCTATATGTTCATTTGCAAAGTTCAAATGATGATTTTTGTGGTGAGGACGTAGAAGAGGTTTTCTTCTGATGACTCTTCCATGAAGACCATATTTGTACAAGTATCTCTTTATAGTGGAATAGTGTACCACAACTCCAGTGTCTGCCAGATCTTTCTGGAGGGATCGTGCAGTCAAACGTGGGTTTTGAATTGTTTTTCTCACAATCCTGTGAGCTGTTCTGTCTGATATTTTTCTTGGTCTTCCAGATCTTGCTTTAACTTCCACTGTTCCTGATGACTGCCATTTCTTAATTACATTCCGAACAGAGGATATTGACATCTGAAAACGCTTTGCTATCTTCTTATAGCCTTCTCCAGCTTTGTGAGCATCAACTATTTTCAGTTTCAGTTTTCTAGACAACTGCTTAGAAGAACCCATGGTGCTGATTGTTGGGGCAAGGTCAGATGAGTCTGGGCATTTAAGACCTTCGAGACTGACATCACCTGGTCTTCCCAGACGATGATTGAGAACAATCCATGACACTGGCAGATCTCAGCTTTGCAAAGGGGGCAGTGCATGCTATAAATTCTGCAGGGTGCCCAAACTTTTGCAGACGCCATTTTTTTGTTTTCTGTTATTTTGAAAGTGTAAATGATGGAAATAAAATTTAACTTTTGTTGACATATTATAAGAATGTCTAATCTGTAATTTGATGCCTTTTGGAGATTTTTCCATCTTTCCTTGGCTTCTTTATGCACATTAATACAAATTTTTAGCTGGGGTGCCCAAACTTTCGATCCCCACTGTAAGCACGTGGAGGCCATACTAACTACTGAGTACCATTTTGAATTTGCTGCATCATCTTTTCACCTTGATTTTCGAGGTGTCTTTGATTTCAGTCCTCTGCAGGTTGATAATCTTCATTTCCATCAAACGATTTCCATCAAGCGATGGTGTATTCTTATATTTCTAACACATTACCCAGCCCATATCAGTATAGATAACCAACAAGTTATCCTTTACTGCTGCTATTGTGTTTGAATGATGCCACTTAGTGGAAAGACTCAGTTGTTGGCCTACAATATTATCCCTCATTAATACATCAGCAGGCATTTCCTGTGCTTCCATTGTCACAGTGTAACCTTTCCAAGGCTAACTGAAAATCACTGGACAGATACCAAAGTGCTATACTTTTTCTTGTAGTCAACCATGCCGGGAGACATCAGAATGCAGTTCAGTACACCTAAAGCGCATAGTAATGTGGGAGCTCTCATGATTACTGGTTATTACCCAGCTAATAATGAAGCATCTATGTGCTTCATTACGAAGACATCACCACCTCTATTTACCTGGAATTCTAAAATTATTGTACAAACTATTAATTAACTAACAGATGCAGTGACTGTGTAGGCTGTATAAACTGTATGTAGCTCAGAAACAGCGCTGTGTACCAGCAGCAGGAAGAGGACTTCCCATCCCACTCCTGAAACAAAATTGCATTGGGCTGAGCACTGCTCAGCTATTCAGCAGAAGCTTTATATTGTATGAATGAATACAAAGTTCCTCTGACTGGCTGAAGTGGAGACAATTAGATGACGTCACAATCTCCACCTCAGCCAATGAGAGGAAGCTGAGAATACATACAGTTTATACAGCACACCCAGCTGCTGCACCTGTTGCGGGAGGGAGGTGTGGGAAACGCACACGGATCGCGGGTTACCTGTACTGCATTCTAGTGTGAACATAGACCTAGGAATTTTTCTGGGGCAGCTTGCAGGATTTAAAAAGACTGTAGATAAATGCAAATAATGCTTTTTACTGGAAAACTGCAGAAGATTACAGTAAACATCTTATCATTTTACTTTGGGAGTATTATATATCATACCTGGAAAGGTGGATTCAAAAGCTCCCTGCGATTAGGACACAGCAAGGCATTTCCATAGACAAGGTCCAAAGCACAGAGAAGGAGATGGTAAGAGTTCACTAAATCATCACTTATCATTGGGAAGTTTCCTGTAAAACAAAGTCAAAAGAGGTTCAAAACACAGAAACACAATAGATCCTAGCCTAACACTCAAACATTAAATGCTTAAAATATAAAAAATCTTATATATCTCTCCTATCAAAGTCACAGAGGCAAAGATTCTTTATTTCTGGGGTACAATGCTGGTCATCATTTTCCTTTTATTGAAGAAAGAAAAAGCAAAAAACACATATGTTGAAAACAGTCAACTAAAAGCACAACTAGAAAAAAAAGGAGCCAATAAAAATATATTGGTTAAAACTGTCAGTGATACCTCTCTATTATATGATAGGTTTGCGGACCGTGGGTTTCTACCACACAAACACGTCCCCCACTGCAACCTAGTAATCCAAGTGCAAAACACAATAAATACGTTCTGTATTATTTACTATACATGCTTTCATGTAATGTCCTTGCCATTGTTTCCTCTCATGCTTGGCGTCAGGCAACGCACCACAAAAGAGGTCTAGTCTTGGGTTTTATTATACTTTTGTTTAACGTCTTTCTTACAGCTTTAATAAATTTAACAGATTTAAACTAACAGTCCACCTCAGGTTGATCTTTTTATAATTGCTTGTAATGTTTCAAGTAGTTTATGGAAAAATAACATCTTATAGTGGCAACATGTGTATAGATATGATAAATTCAGACCAATTAAATTAAATAAAAAAAATGAAAACGAAAGACCCTTTCAATTGATTTAGTGAATTTAATTTCTACAGTGCAAGCCATTTGGCTTTGTTGGAATATTTTTTATTGTATTTGATCAATTGAGCTGTGTGAATTGCTTGTTTTCATTCATTTGCTCATACCTAGATTGATCCCAGTGCCTTCAATACCTTGTCACATACTGACAAGGTATCTTTTTTCAAAAAAAACAAAAACAAAACACCCATAGAGACTGCCTTACTACTGTTGTAATGTTATTGCGACAATCTCCTCTACTGTCCGCTACAACACACTGATCAGTGCTCGCAGACATTGGCTGTGAGTGCTGATCAGGTGTGGGTCAGATACTGCTTTTCCAGCATGCCCGTTCAACAGAAGCCAGTCATAATCGGCTTCTGTAGAACAGACAGCTGCGCACACACACAGGCTGAAAGTCGGCCAGTTCCTGTTGAACCAGCTGATTTTGTCCTGTGTGCACAAGGCTTTAGGCTACATTCACACCAGCGTTTTATGCCGGTGCGAATTAGAGCGGCAGGTATCTTTTGATTCTTGCTGTGGCTCTTGGTGGCTAGGTGCGGCCGCTGGCCCTGTTTACTATAATCGCAGGTTGCCAGCAGCCACAGGTATTTGTGGCTGTCCAAACAGCCAGCGATTACCTGCAGTGATCACTGCTGGATGCACACAATGGGGGAGATTTACTAACACTGGTGCACTCAGAATCTGGTGCAGCTGTGCATGGTAGCCAATCAGCTTCTCACTTCAGCTTGTTCAATTAAGCTTTGGAAATAAAACCTGGAAGCTGATTGGATTCTATGCAGAGTCATACAGATTTTGCACTCTGGAGTTTATTAACTAAAACCAGAAAGTATAGCCTTATGCAGATCAGGAGTTCTGACTTCACTTTCTAATCTATATCCTTGAGCTGGCCTGCAGCTGAGACAGAAGCCAGAGATAGGCAGAACCTGGCATTCTCACCTTCATAGCTACGTAATCTCATTATATTACACCAAGCCTTCAGGCGTATGGGTAGAAAATGATGGGGAAGACATATCGCAATTAACACTGATACATGACAGACTGAGGAGGAGACCGTCTACTGAATATTCTTATTTACTAAGTTTGTTACACAGTCTTAGCTCATTATTGCATAGCAGGTTTTATGAATACTACTACATCCAGAAGAAAAAAAAATGCATTTCATTTATTCTAAACTAACTTGTGGCTCAAATATTTGAAACCATGCATATAAAATAAATCAAAATCTAGAGGTTAATTACAATATTTGTATATATACTGTATATATATATACATATACACACAAATATACACACACACACACACATACACACATACATATAGGTAAATTACATATCTTATTATATTGTTTCTCATCTAACACAAACCAAGGTCTAGGGCACTGATCAGGTGTTGCAAAGTGAATAATCTGGCCCCTGGAGAACATTTTTGTCTGACACATAAACATGCCCACTCTTTTTGAACACACATAATACAGCATATGGAAAATAATACACCCTGTGCCAAATTATTATGCAAATTCTATTTAGGTGTCACAAAGATTAAATATTTTGTTTTTCAGTTTAACTCATGGATGGCATTGTGTGTCAGGGCTCTTTTGATCACTGAAAACAATCTCGGACACCTGTGATAATTAGATTGGCCGGTGAGCCCAATTTAAGGAAAAACTACTAAAGGAGGGTGTTCCACATTATTAAGCAGAGCACCATTTTCAAGCAATATAGGGAAGAAAAAGGATCTCTCTGCTGCCGAAAAGAGTGAAATAGTTCAATGCCTTAGATGAGGTATGAAAACATTAGATATTTCACGAAAATGTAAGCGTGATCATCGCACTATTAAGAGATTTGTGGCGGATTCAGAGCACAGACGGGTTCGTACAGATAAAGGCACATTGAGGAGGATTTCTGCCAGATCCATGCATCGGATCAAAAGAGCAGCTGCTAAAATACCATTACATAGCAGCAAACAGATATTTGAAGCTGCTGGTGCCTCTGGAGTCCCACAGACATCAAGGTGTAGAGTCCTCCAGAGTCTTGCAACTGTGCATAAACCTTCTATTCGGCCACCAATAACCAATGCTCACAAGCAGAAATTGCTGCATTGGGCAGAAAAATACATGAAGACTAATTTTCAAACAGTCCTGTTCACTGATGAGTGCCGTGCAACCCTGGATGGTCCAGATGGCTAGAGTAGTGGATGGTTGGTGGGCGGCCACCCTGTTCCAACAAGGCTGCGACGTCAGCAAGGCAGTGGTGGAGTCATGTTTTGGGCCGGAATCATGGGAACAGAGCTGGTCAGCCCCTTTAGGAGCCCCGAAGGTGTAAAGATGACCTCTGCAAAGTATGTGGAGTTTATGACTGACCACTTTCTTCCCTGGTACAGAAGGAAGAACTATGCTTTCCGTAATAAAATCATCTTCATGTATAACAATGCACCATCTCATGCTGCAAATAATACCTCTGCATCAATGGCTGTTATGGGGATAAAAAGAGAGAAAGTCATGGTGTGGCCTCCATCCTCCCCTGACCTCAATCCTATTGAGAACCTTTGGAGCATCTTCAAGCAAAAGATCTATGAGGGTGGGAGGCAGTTTACATCCAAACAGCAGCTCTGGGAGGCTATTCTGACATCTTGCAAACAAATTCAAGCAGAAACTGTCCAAAAACTCACAAGTTCAATGGATGCAAGACTTGTGAAGCTGCTATCAAATAAGGGGTCCTATGTTACAATGTAACGTGACCTGTTAAAATGTTTAAAAAGTTAAAATGTTGTTAAAAGTTTGATTGAAATAGCTTTTGATTTCAGTAAATATGCTGCAAACACAACAAATGACAATTTTCAGTTCTTTACAACCTATAAAGTGTTTTGAAACTTACTGTGTGTAATAATTTGGAACAGTGCATTGGAAGTTTTTTATGTTTAAAAAAAATCCTGTTAGCATAATTCTCATGTTATCAACTATTAAGAGTACAATTCAAATTTTATTGAACAAACCTCCTAATGATGACTGTTATTTACATCAATTATTTAGGTAAATGAGAAAAAATATCATTTGCATAATAATTTGGAACACAGTGTATATATATATATATATATATATATATATATATATATATATATATATATATATATATACACACACATACATACATACATACATACATACATACATACACACACACACAATGACATATCTTATTATATTGTTTCTCATCTAACACAAACCAAGGTCTAGGGCACTGATGAGGTGTTACAAAGTGAATAATCTGACCCCTGGAGAACATTTTTGTCTGACACATAAACATGCCCACTCTTTTTGAACACACATAATACAGCATATGGGAAATAATATACAGGAATACAATCTTTAACTCACCTAGCCTAGATGGGACAGTATACATTCCAGATCCTTTGCACTACTTATTTACCTTTCATCTGCCTATACCCACATAACCCAAGAATGGTAACATACTCACGCTCCAGGCATATCCCCAGCCTCCCGCATAGTGTAGGTCTGCAGGAGCTGTCAGACTTGGGAAGAGAAGCTGAACTGTTTGCAGAGAAGCCGGCTCCTATTGGTCTTCGGATGACAGAAGCCTTATACAAACAAGCCCTAACTTGCCTGCTGTACTGTGGTTGCTATGATAAACTACTAATAAAGCTGCATCTAGTGCAGGCTGGATTACGGAGGGTTATTAACAATCATACTGATTTACTGAGCCATACTAACAATCACATTAGCAAATCGTTAACCATTTCCAAACCAGAGGGAGAGTTTACATCAATGTAAAAGGTAAAGTAAAATTGAGTTTTGTGAAGACAGCCTGCTCACTGTTACTTCTAAGGCTACTTTCACACTGATCCACCACGAAAACACAGCAAAAACGCATAGGCGATTTTACCGCGCTTTTGCCGTGCTTTCTGAGCGGTTTTAAAAGGACACGTGACTTAAAAAAATGCACCAAAAACACATCTCAGTGGCATTTTTGGAGGTGCTTTTCAGGCGTTTTCCATGGATTTCAATGGGAAGAGGCATTCTTGGGGCGTTTTTTTTTACTGCCAAACATGACCCAAAGATGCTGCAAGCAGGAGTTTTTACACCACACCACAAGCGCAACGCCTCAGTGTGAAAACATACATAGATATACATTCACATACATAGGGAAGCATTTTTCTTGAGCTTTTTAAGGCGCTTTTTTTAATGCAAAAATGCTTCAAAAACTCCTCAGTGTGAAAGTAGCCTAAACCTATAATTAGAAAGAAAAAAAAAAAAAAAAAAAAAAAA